ATGGAACAATTCATTCTGGAGGCCATCTCTAGGCATGTAGAAGAAAAGAACATTATTGGGAATGGTCAACATGGATTCACTAAGGGGAAATCATGCTTGACCAATCTGATAGCCTTCTATGATGGCATGACTGACTGGGTGGATGAGGGGAGAGCAGTGGATGTTGCCTGCCTTGACTTCAGCAAGGCTTTTGAAACTGTCTCCCAGAGTAACCTCATAGGTAAGCTTAGGAAGTGTGGGTTAGATGAGGGGACAGTGAGGTGGGTGAAGAACTGGATCAATGGCAGATCAGGAAAATAGAGGTATCTGCTGCAAAAAAAGTACAGATCACTTCTGTGTGCTTTGTGCTTTAATAAATTGTGTTCTGTAAATTATTGTTGAACTCTGGAATAAGGAATATTTAAAAAAATATCTGAAAGCTTATTGTGTTATAAAGCATTGAATTAAGGTAGTGGCATTCATTTTCAGAATGTTTTCTTTCATAATGGGGAAACAATTTTAATGTGTTTGTAAGATTAAAATAGATTTAATCCAACGTACACTGAATACAACTTCCTGAATTTCCTGCTGTCTGAATCCATTTCATTGTGTTATTCTATGTGAGCTGGCATCCACTTTCTATTTTTAAAGAATACTACATTTTAGTGAGGGTAGAGGTGTTTCTTCATTGTTTGGTCATGTTAAGCAGTGTATGACATTTTTAGATGCCTGGAAGAATAAGTTTGTTTAGGAAAAGACATCTGATTATTTTGTATCTGTGTCACTTTTGGTCTTACAGCATGTCTTCGGCAATTGATTACTCCAGAATCGCTTTGGGTCCCAAACGAGGTCCATCTGTTGCTGAGAAAGAAGTTCTGACCTGTATTCTTTGTCAGGAGGAGCAGGAAGTAAAGCTGGAAAGTACTGCCATGGTATTATCTGCTTGTGTCCAGAAATCAACTGCCTTAACTCAGAATAGAAGCAGAATTCTTGAACTCTCTGGGGGTATGTGATTTTTCTTCTTTTAGACTACAAGCAATTCTGTACCTAGAGCTCATACCCTTTGAACCTAACTAAACTCTGTTCAGTCAGATTGCTAAATGACTTACCCTACTTAATAAAAAGAAACTGAAAATTTTTAAGTTGTTCTAAAATCCATGCTTTGAAATGTAAAAATGAGAAGTATATGAAGATTTTTATTTGTCCCTGGGAAATCAGAAAATGCTTTTACCTCGCGAGAAGATTTTATAAAACTTAAGAGATTTGGTAGGAGTGGTTACTCTGGAAAAAATCCAAGAATGTTATCAGTTTCTGTTTATTCAAATACAGCTGCAAAATTTCCCAATATGGAGGAAATATATATACATTATCAGAGACCAGTATGGCAGCCTCAGGAGGGTTTGATTTTTTTTTTTTGGGGTTGTGTTGTTTTGTGTTGTTGTGCCCCCCCCCGCCATGTCCAGGAAGTAATAAAAACAGCAACAACAACAACAAAAAAGTTCTAAGCAAGGATCATATGATATAATCTGATGAATGGAAAAAATACTTAGTGGTGATAATTTTAACAAGACAGAAATACAGTCTAGAAGATGATAAGAAAAGTTGAAACAATATCTAGATAACTTCAGTGTATTCACCTTGGCAATTATTAAAGTAATTTTGAAAGTGCTATAGAACCATTGTCTTCTGTATAACCTTTAATTATTTTTTAAAATTTGTAGAAGATAGTTGAGATCTTAGAAGGCTAAGAAAGGCAAACAAGTATGTGTCTTAAAAAAACCCCTCAAAACAACAAAAAGCCCCACCACCAAAATACCAGAAGTGAAATGAGAAAGTACTAAAAAAACTTGGGTATTCCATCCAGCTTGGATGCCCAGAAGTATGCTGGATAATAGTAATTATTATTAGTTTGTAATACAATATAAAAAAATAAAGACAATCATTAAAGCAGTAAGAAATGTCAAAAATGGATTTGTCAAGAAACGAACTTAGTAAGCCACACTAATTCTTTGACCAGGATAATTTTTGTGGGTCAGGAGAAGGCAAGCTAATTTATTTGCATGTTTGTTAGAATTTTTGACTCTGTCCTACTTGATACACAGCCTAGGCAAATGTTATGTTAGAATTTTTGACTCTGTCCTACTTGATAAACAGCCTAGGCAAATGTTTAGGTGAAATCACCCCAAAGCGGACTTACATCTCACCATAAAACTACTAGTTGATCCAAGCACACTATAATATTAAATAATAATTAAAAGTTAAAAATGACCATTTTTTCCATGTAAATTGAATTATATTGATTTTAACACTGATAAAATTTAAATAGCTGTTATCTATTAAATATTTATTGATCAATATGCGTTCTCTATGTGTCCACCCATATCTTATTATAAAGTGGACTCAATGGTTTTTCAAATACTGGTTATTCAAGGCAACTAATAAATAAGAAATAAGGATGTAGTGTTGAAAGATAATAAAACTGGAGGTCTGTAAGATCAAGATGTCTTCTAGTTTGTTGCCTTTACATGGCAAGAATGTTACAACTTGTAGTTTAAATTCCTACTATATTTTCAAATTCCTACTATGTTTCCTACTATATTTTCAAATATATATATTTTTTCTATTTTATAATAGTGTTGTTGGTTTCTGGTCAGCTCATAAAGCAAAATAAACCCTATGTCCTATCTTTTTTTAACGACACTACTGTCTACCGTATAGCTTTAAATTCTGTGTTTGTGCAGTGTATTATTTGTGCTTTAGGACGTACTCTCTCGGTTGTTACAGAATAGAGTTCTAAAGCAAAGGGAAGTTCAGCATTGTTTCATATTTCTCCAGGATATTACCTTATTCTTTATTGTGCTAGCAAACCTTTACCAAGTTGTTTCACTTAAGATGTTTTGATTCCTCCTCTGGATCATTAACAAATACTGAATAGTCCTAGACCCAGGACAGATTCCTACAGAATCCTGTTTGGTCTATTTTAATTTTTAACAGTAAACTACTGATAATGGCAGTTTTGAACCAGCTATGTAGAATTTTTATTTAGGCTATGTACTAATTGCATCCATTTTTTTTTTTTTCCTGCTCTCTTCTATGGTACTCTGAAGTATAAATTAAATCCTGTGCTCTGGTAGTCAGATGCACTTGTAAGCTTCTGCAGTGACATGCTGGGCATTGAAATAATTGAGAAAAGAAGGGAGTGAAGTTCCTTTTCCTAAAGCCACTTCTGGATGCTATTTATAATACTTACTGTCTGCTGCATGGTCCTCTGCAGCTCATTAGTTTAAGTAGGCTTCTTGTAATAGCTTTTTTCTTTGAAGATCTAAATAAGTGGAAAAAAGCTTGTTCCCACAGCAGAAGTGCAGGTAGTGGCAAATTAGTATTATACCAAGGTTCCATTTCTCATTTCAATCTCCATTTGATTTAGAGCAGCTTCAGTTGCTGTCAAAAATAATTATATTTTCAGTGCAGTTTGGTTGCTAGGTTTTTTGCGGGTTTTTTTTCCCTTTCTTTTTCAATTTGTCAAATTGAGGTGTATCTGTTTGAATCATAGACAGTCCGCCAGATGAGGTTTGGAGGACTGCTGTTGTTCAGTTCAGTATTATTTAGGTGTCTTTAAGGGGAAAATGGAGTCTCACTTTGAGTGCATATGCAGCACAAAGACACCATTAGTTTCTCATAACATTTTTACTGTTAAGAATTATGCGACATTAGTAAAGGATAGCCTTGACTTTGTTCTTCAGCAATGCTCTTTGTGACAGTGGTAAGAAAATATATGGGATTAGTTGAAGAAATGCCTAAACTTTCTTGTCATTAGCGGTTAATTTTCTTTCACCTAAAAATACAATAACAAATACATTAAAAACTTCAGTGATAGTGTATCCAACCACAAAGCTATTCCAGTACTGAAGGACATTTTTATTTTTGTTTAATTTTTTAACCAGTTTACTGTTGCTTTTGGATTTTGTTGGGTTGTTTTTGGGTTTTTTTTAATAATTAATGAAAAGCCTTCAGTAGTTTGTGGGCTCTGTCCTCTGATTGCTTTGCCTGAGTATTGGTCTGGAAAAGTTAGTCAAATGAGGTTTCAGTGTGAGTGTGTGAACTGGAAAAAAAATCTGAAGGCTTGTATTCTGTGTATAGTGTTGTTCCTTTCTGTTCATACTGATGAGGAGTTATGTTATTGCTCTTCAAAAAGTTTCTTTCTGCTGTGTCTTTCTAGATACACTAGATCCTCTCTTCATGCACCCTGACTTACCTTGTGGTACCCACACAGGAAGCTGTGGTCATGTGATGCATGCAGCCTGCTGGCAGAAGTAAGGATGTGTCTTTGCAGCCTTTTAATGTTTTGTTGTTTTTTTTTGGTTTTTTTTTAATTAATCTTTTTTTCAAACCCCCAAGTCCACACTGGAAACACTGTACAGTAAGTGGCTATTTAATTAAGGAGTCAAAACTATTTGTACTCATCTAAAAATGAAATATGGAACAAGAGAAGATTTGACCTGACAAAGAAAATCACCAAAAATTTTAAGTGCCTTCTATGAACCAAAGAAGAATCTCTAAGGAGTTACTAATTTATGCAAATAAAACCAATGGGGTAAATTTGGTCAAGAGTAAGAAACCTTATCTAGAAGGTTTATTTTTAGCAATTCAGTGAGAACCAGTAGGAATCTTCTAGGTGAGTGTTCTGTAGTGACAGTGCTTGGACTTTGAAAGTTTGTCATCAGATCAGAACTCAAAGATGAAGCTGACTTATTCTCGTGAGTCTTTTGAGGAGAATCTGGCATTTAGAATAGAATAGGAATGGTTAATTCTACCAATATTTCTTCCCCACCTCTCCCGTATCGGTGAACAAACTCTTAAGAAGTAAGAGGGAAGAACTGATGCAGGGCTTGAAAACTTTACTAAATTTCTATTGTCTGGGGGAACCCACAATTTAGACCAAGTGTGTTGGATTAGAATGCAACCTGAAATATTAAAAGACCAAGTTACTTAGCTTGCAGAATATAGTCGTCCTTGTTGCAGCTACATTTGTAGGATTACAGAGAGCAAAGCTAATGCTCTGCATTTGGCTCCACATAGATCTGTCAAGTCTAAACAACATAAATAGTGTGAAATAATAATAGAAATAATCCCACTAAAGTATTAACAACAGATAAAGAGAGTTGGGTCAGGCAATTGCAAGCTACTTTATATTGTTGTATAATATAAACAATCTCTTGAGGTTTATTGTTTGTACTTGTGTCATTTTGCTTTAAAAAAATCTGACTAAACTTCTAGTGCTTATCGCTTTTCTATATGTGTGTGTATATATATATTTTTTTTTAACATTAAAACATCAGTACAGAATAAATAGGTACACACACTGAAAATTATATGGAAATATGTTCCTTGAGTATAATACATCTGCTCTTGGCAGATCCATCTGCTTAGATCGAAGTAGTGGAACATTGGAGCTCAGTTCCCTTGCTCTTTTTAAGAAAAGATGACTTGCTATATGAGTAAACGGGATTAAAATGGACAGCAGGCTCTTCTCATATGGGAAGGCACAGAATGTTTGAGTATAGTCTTTTATTTGTTACATAATAGACATTCTAACTTACTAATATTCGTCTAAATGATGCCTGCTACACTACACCTTTCTAGAGTATCTGTGCAGCCTAAAAATACTGCAAAATACTTTCTAAAACGGTATGAGTTCAAATAAATGGAATATCTTTGTAGTTGCTATGTATGAGAAGGAGGAATTGCTTGCAAAAACATAATTGTTTGAATATGGGGAAAATAAATGTATGTTTTTGTTGATTGTAACAGAATGCTTTCCTAAATATTCTGTAATTATTAGAACTTCTGTAGATGCCCCTGTACATACACTTCTCATTATTACATAAAAGGGATTTTATTTTTTCCTTAAGATATATAATTAAAGAAAAAAAAATCTATTTATTACCCTAGTGCAGAATTTAGATCATTTCATATCTGTTTTTAACATTTTTACATAGCCAGTCTGAACATTAGTACTGAATTCAGCTGCTTGTATCCAGGCAAGAAGATTTTAATGTTTGATCTTTGTGTTCCTAATAATACCACTGAGACATTAATGAAATCTGAAGGCTTACTGCATCCACTGAGGGGGCAAAATTATAATGAAACCTGTAAAAAGATCATAGTTATTTCTTAGTTTCCTTTTCAGTTTAGAAGAGCTCAAGTGCGATAATGTAACATAAATTATCCTTTTTTCCCATTAAAAGAAAGCTACTGTTTCATTGTCTAGTCATGAGACTCAGTCATTACCGTGAATAGATGATTATTCATTCATGAAATGTTACCAGTAGTTTTTCCTAAAACTAAATAAAAATATGTACAATCCCTGTTTCAAACTTACTGTAATAAGTTGCACATGAGAGATATTGGATACATGTTTTATTGTGTTGAAGATGTGAGAGAAGAGTAGAAAAATTAAGGACTGCTTCTCTGTAAAAATGTCAATGAACTTTCAAAGCATCTTAAGAGCAAGGAAAAGTTGACATCATTTTTGCGTTAGTAGTATACCAAGCATTTTTGCATTAATTCATCTGTGTACTCAGATTTTATTTTATTTTCACATCCAAGCATGTAAAAGAGCTCTAAATCAAAGGAAAATACTTGTTTGTTGGCTTGGATAGGTATTTGCTAGACAGTAACACTTAATTACTTGAACATTTGTTTTCATGTCTCGTTTGAGCCATTCCACTTTCTAGTCATTTCCTTTTCAATGTTATAGGTACTTTGAAGCCATGCAACTGAACTTCCGACAACGTCTGCATGTTGAACAGATATTTGACTTGGAGAATGGAGAGTATCTTTGTCCACTTTGCAAATCTCTGTGCAACACTGTGATTCCTATCGTTCCACTGCAGGCTCAAAAAATAAACAGGTAAATTACCAGATTGCATAGCCTTTAATTAATTTTTTTTAAAAAAAGGTAAAAATTACTTTGGGACTGGTTGGCTTTTCAAATTTCTACAAGGAAAACTTGGGTTTACCTTCCTAATCTGTATAAAAGACTGCATATCTCCTCATTGACTGTTCAGCTAAGTATACTGCTTTTGACAATCAATTTTTTTATTGGCTATTTTTTGAAGCTGATATCAAATGAGAAAGTACCTTGATCTAGTATTTAGCCTAACATTTCATTTTGTACTGTTTGCTCAAAACTTACAATACCAGCAAAACTGCAAATACTGAATGAATGTGCTTTGATCAAAATGTGTCCTCTGTTTTGAAAAATAAAGTGATTCTTTGAGTCTTAAAGTAAAACCTGCTTTCTATTTCTGTTTTCAGTGAGGATGCAGAGGCAGTAGCTCAGATTCTGTCCTTGGCTAGGTGGCTGGAGATTATCATAGTCAGGATATCAGGCTACAGTGTAAAAAATACTAAAGGTTTGTTATCTTAATTTCTGAAGTTGTTTTGTGGGTTATGCCAGTACATATTTTAACTAATACCAACAGATAACTTCAAATAAAGAATAATTTTGCTATCAATCAAGACAGTATCAAATAAAGCTGGGGATAAAGTCATGGCCCTTACTGAGCTGGTGTCTTGATTTCAGTACCCTCACCTATTTTCTGGTTTCTATAAAATTCTTTCCATCTTCCCTGAAGAAGAAAATTATGTACATATGGAGAGGATAACCACCAACTAACACTCAAGAGTTAATTAAATTTTGTATTGACTTTGATGTAGTAAAAAGAGAAAAATTGAATTAAAAGGGCCAAAATAAAAACATATATGTGTGTTTAGAAAACAGAAGGTACGGAGAATCAACATATTCCTTGCACTCTTATAATGCAAGAAAGTTCTCTTTCCTCACCAGCAAAGCACTACTTTTAATCCTCGTATTTCTTGGAATAGAAGAAAATGTTACTTAAGGAGGAGGGTTAGAAGACAGTCTGCCTGGTGAGGTCTGTTTTCAAACCAGTTTAAAATAAAACAAAGTCTCACTTCTGTTAGACTCCTGTAAAAACTGTAACAGCTTATTTGTTTTTTTTAATGTGGAACTAATTTTTTTTTTTTTTTTTCTGGAAGGAGAGAAACAAAATCTTCCAGCTTTCACCAACAAGGGAATGGGGAACTCAAATTTGGAATTCCATTCTATCCTTAGTTTTGGAGTTCAGTCCTCGTAAGTGTCACCAGAAGTGTTCTTACTAAAATAACCTAGGTGTACTTCATTTGTATTGAAGGAAAGGCATATGATTTGTCTCGTCTGAATATGGGCTTACTTATACTTTTCCTTTTTCTTACTTATACTTTTCCTTAATATTCACTAAATATTAGATCTATACAGAGGTAGATTGACCTCTTGGTCAAATCCAGTCTGGTAGTTCTTATGTTCTTGATATGAAGCTAGGAGTCTGGAGTCTTCTAGTCCCCAATTCTAGTGATTTGAGTCACTTTCTGTGCCTCTAGGCAAGTTATTTAATGCCTATCTGCCTTAGTTTTCCTGCTGTATGTCTGTTGCAGGGATAGATTTCCTTTGGTTTTGTATGCAATAATATAGATTACTCAAAGGAACAGGGCTGTGTTGTCTGTTTCTATTCCAGTGGGCGAAAGTGCTCTCCCACTACAATAGAATAAATGGATAGATACTTTCCAAGTGTACTCAGCTGTCTTCTTTTTAGATCACACTATAAGTACTCTACTTCTGCTACTTCAGACTGACATCATAGTTATGTAAAGTACTTATACATATCTGCTATTTGTAAAAACGTCATCAGAAAGTTAAATCAAATTTTCTTGATAACTGACATCCATGAGAGAAATTCTATAGTTTGCACTTAAACAATGTGGTGTTTATATATGAGACTGGCTAAACCCCAAACTTTGTGGTACAAGTCATTTGGCTGTAGAGATTTGGAGAATTAATGAATGTTACATATTTCTGTTATATGCATGACTTCATAAAAACACAAGCCATTAAAACTGTATGTATTTTTGCCTAGGCACTTTTCTACACGTAATTGCATTTACATAAACTAATCCAATGTCAGTTGAAAGGAGTTTAAATGCTCAAAAAAAAGCGTTTTAAAACACATTTGAAATGTCTTTCATTCCATTTTTAGTGCCTTATGAGATGAGTTGTGTTTTCACTGCAGCACTTATAATTATACTTGCTTTTTCGCATTTGTTTATTCATTGTATTTTACTTTGATTTAAATGTTTGTATTTTTTGAATGTGAATTATAATACAGTATACAGAAATAGACTCCTCCAGCCCTGGCAGCTCTTAACGTCTCAATTTGTAGAGCCTTTTATGTTAAGGTACTTGTTTACTACTGGAAATGAATAACTTTTTTCTCTTCTGTACAGACAAAGGGCCTTTGTATTCAAGAATTTTTTCATAAATAATTTAGACTTTGTTAGTGATTGATTGACTGGTAAGTAATAAGCACTATTAATAATTCAGGCTGAAATTATCTTGGCTTGCTTTTGCAGAGCCAAATATTCAAGCAGTATCAAGGAGATGCTTATTCTCTTTGCCACCACCATTTATAGAGTTGGGCTGAAAGTTGCTCCAAATGAAGCTGATTACCGTATTCCAATGATGACCTGGAGCACATGTGCTTTTACCATCCAGTGTATAGGTAAAGTATCATTTGGGTTTATTCCTTCTCAGTACTTGAAAATCTTAGATATTTGACTGTATAATTTTATACAATCTGATTGTATAAATAATAATAATAATTCTATATAAATAAGAGCAATACATAGTAGCAGAGCAATGTATATTAAGTATAATTACATATATAATAATAGAATGATAATCTATAATACAATGTAAATAATAAGATATTTTTGTTAGTTGGTAGCTTATAATATAAGGTATGAAATGCCAATAACAAGTTTAATTTTAGAGAGTAATCATGTTCCACATTACTAATTGTAACATTAAGCATGTTCAGTCTTCAGACTGCCAAAGATCATTGACCTGCAGCCGTCTCCTACACAGTTAAATATCTATCAGCTATGAAACAGTACTCCTCTCCTTATTTCTTTTTGTCTCTATTATCAAAGAATTCTCGTGGCATTTGTAGAAGAAACGTTCTCTGGCATGAATCTCTTTTTGAAGACAAAATAATTACCATAAAAATTATAGCATTTTTGGGGATAATGTACCTTTTTAGCATTCCATCTAATTTCATTTCTGTACTACATCCATAAAGTTTGTGTAATACACATGAAGCTGGAGATAAATCTGTAGTGGCTTCCAGACCGGGAGACAGGCAAGAGCTAAGTCTGAAATGGATGCTGAAGGAATTGAGAATGTAATTGTACATCTCCATAAATATGACTTGCCAAGTATGCCATTTTTTTCTTGATGAAGCTGTTGAGGTACAAGTGTAGTCTACCTTAAATCTCAAGAGATTTCTTATTTTTATTGGCTTATTTTCCCTTTATTAACCCTTCAGAACCAATGCACACAGTGAGGAAAGCTGAATTGTAGTCTGTCTTGTTTTCAGAATATTTTTGTTAAACCACAGTCAAATGCAGTAGTGCAAATCTGAGGATGAGATGGCTATATAGCATCCCTGTAAACATACCTTGATGTTTTTGAGCATTGTATAAGGGTAACTGAAAATACAACTAAATCTGTAGAATATCTTATCATCATTCATGTGAAACAGTGATCCTTTAAATCCCTAGTTAGCAAAATCTGAAAACCAAATATTTTTAAAAAGCTTGTTATAACCATTTATCTGGGAAGCATTCAGTACCACTTAAGATAGTGTTGTTTTGTGGTCATTGTTGTTGTTGTGTTTTGGTTTTTTTTAAGAGAATTCTCTTATCAGATTAAAGCTAAGCTTTAAAAATAAAGTATATATAGTAAGAGTAAATTAATCTTGGACTGAGTGTGTTCTAACAGAAATGTTATGTTAGTTCCTGTAGAACAAAGCAACTTAATTTTTTGTGTTTAATTTTAAGAAAATCTCTTGGAAACGGAGAGCAAGCCTTTATTTGGATCTCTACAAAATAGACAGGTATGGGCAAGTAAGATATGCAATACATTTTAAATAAATAGGAGTTATAGATATAAAAATACATATATAAAAAACATTCTGTTGAAACTGCTGACATCTGTTGAGGGATACCTCTCAAAATGTTTAGATTTATTACATAAAGAGCGTTTTGGAATAAAAATGTTTCTACTTATACATGGAAGTTCATATTGAATTCACTTTTTAATGTGTCTTCTGTTTGTAGAAGTAAATATGTTTTTACAGCTTTATTTCACTACTTTATCTTCCCTTTCTTCCTGGCCAACAATTTTCTCTTGCGCTCTAGCACAGTGGCCTTAAAGCATTAGTGCAGTTTGCAGCTGCTCAGAGAACAACATCACCACAGGTCCTGATTCAGAAACATCTGATTCGTCTTCTAGGAGGTATTGTATTCCTTTTCTTTACTACCTTTTGTGTTGCAGAAGTTTATTGCAAAATGGCACACACGTTAATAAAACATAGAAACAAAGGTTAGACTACAGACAACAAATGTTGCTTGAAACCATGGAGTATTGCTTGAACTTAAATAATCAATAATTCTGTTAACCCAGCCTTGTATCACTGAAGTCCCCAGAAATCCTCTATCTGAAATTGCCTTGGCCTGGAGCTACTCAGATCTGGAATATTTACAGATAGTTAACAATCTATTTCTGGCAAATTCTGTACTAAATAGGTGGAGAAAGCCACAAAACAGGTACTTCTCTCTTAATTGTGAGACTTCATCTTTTTAGTGCTTTCAAAAGGCTGCTTGAAGCCTAGTTTAAGGTATTTTGGTCTTGGGGAGAGCTAGTTTGAGACACATAGCTACCTTCCCTTTTTCTTACTGATTAGGTTAGCATGGTGCCCTTTGTGCATCCCACTCTTTGACTTGCCTTCTATGATAGGATTCTTAAGTGTGGTACAGGCTTTTGTATTGGGCTAGGTTGTGAGGCATCTAGTGTTTCAGTGCCTAAGTACATTTTTTGACTTGACCCTCAACACTGTATGTGCTTTATTAGAGCTGGAGAAATAAATCAAAGATTTCTATCCCTGAATTTTGAAGATATAGTAATTAATTTTTTCAGATGGTTGACCATGTGGAAATAGTGAAACAGATGCACAATTTATTAAATTAGTGGTAAGCAGTTAATTACATAAATACTTCCTTAGTTCAGAGACTTGGACTTTTTAAAAATGAAAACACAGAAATGAGAGTTGCTAAAATCAGATTCTGATATTGCAGTTCAATCCAAAAGAAGAAAATACATATCAAATGCATAATTGTTGTCTTTATTTTGTAGTTCTTCTACCAAACTTTAAAGTGGAGGACACTCCATCTCTCTTAGAAGTAGACATGTTCCACATTTTGGTAAGCAGTTTCATTTTATTCTTCATATTAATTCTTTTCAGCATAGATTTTTGTGTATTTTACCCCGTAGATAGTCCTGCATTATCTGTTCACTTGCATGAGTCAAATGATGGTACATGAGCAGTGCATACAAGCAAACAATTACATATGGCTGCTATATATGAGTGTTGACTTCCAGTGCTGCTGTTCTTCTGGCTTTCAAGTCTGCTGTCTTATTAAGTGTCATGCTGACAATCTCAATCATCTTTTTACTACTTCCTTTGCTATCAAACCTCCAAAAAACCCCAAGAAATGCACACACTCAGCTAGTTTCCCTCACTTTGTCTCAACAGGTGTCTCATACCTTCTGATTCCTTCACATTCACTCTCATTACCTCTTATTAACCTCTTCTTTCTGTTCTTAATGCAAATCTATGTTATAGTTTCTTCCACTGTTAAAAAAAAACAACAAAAACCAAACAAATCCACAGAACAAAGCCAACAAAAAACAATCAAACAAAAAAACTCCAAACC